TGGGTGGGTCTAGGGTGTTTTGGATGTGAAGCCCGTTTCGAGCACCCCAGAAGCCGTGTACACCCATCCATTCCTTACACCAAAAACCCTAAACCCCGCGAAGCCCAAGAAACCTCAGCAGCCTCGAAACCTTTAAAAAGCGGAAGCTGCGAGGCGGATGGGGACGAAGAGGTGGATCCAGCCAGGGTTTAGGGTTCAGGGTTGAGGGTTGAGGGCTTGGGGTTTGGGGGTTGGGGGTTGGGGGTTGGGGCTTCGGGTTTGTGGTTTGGGGTCATCCCGAACAGCACAGAACCCTAAACCCTAAACCTAAAATTCTAAACCTTAGGTTGCGGGTTTGAGTTTTGCGGGGAGGGAGTGGGACGGAGGGGGAGGGAGGGAGGGGGTAGAGGGGGAGGGAGTGGGGGGGGAGGTTGGGGCGAGGGTGGAGGGAGGGGATTCTTCGAGGGTGGGCCGTTGATTCTGTTTCAGAACGAGAAAATTAGGTACCGGAATACCGGAGCTACACTGAGACCTGGAACAGAGACTTCTCAGAATAGATTTCCTTACAACAAGGCCCCCTTTTGTAGGCTTATGGGCTTAGAAGGCCTATAGGCCTTCTAGGGCTTAAACGGTCTATGGGCCCCAAACAACGACCCTCATTTCCCTCATTTGGAACTCCCCCTGCATGGAGCTTACAATGTTTTTAATGTGGTTGAAGCTTTAAGGCGTTGCTGCCCTAGAAGCCCCAGTCCACATACGAGGGTTCCTCTACCGATGATGATCTGACAGCTTGTGCCAAGACAAGCTGGAGACAAGTGACAGCTTTGAGGTACATGTCTAGATAGAGCAACCTACGCAGCATGCCCAAACACCAGTAGGAAAGACACCTTGATTGTTGGATCCATGCTGTAAAGCTAAGGGTGTCTACAAGTGTATAGAGCACTCTCGGGTTAGGGGTAGTCGGCACAAGCGGTCTCCGCTTTGCGACTCAGACTCAACCCCATAAGATAACTTCAAGAAGGCGCCGTGCGGAAGGTTCTGGAAGTCCTTTGTTGAAGGTTTAGGGTTTAGGGATTAGGCTTGAAAAGGGGTTTAGGGTTTAGGGTTGAGGGTTGAGGGTTTAGGGTTTAGGGTTTACAGCTTACCAAGCATAGACTCTAAGCCCTGGTGTATTTTAAGCCTGAGACCCACAAATCCTAGAAGCCCTAAAGCCCTTTTGCCCCCTAAAGTCCCCAACCCTGAACTTCTGGCCGTCCCTAACCCAAGGCGCAAAAGCCCAAACCCTAAACGCCTGAAGCCCTTGGACCCCTTAAACCCTAAAAACCTAACCTTGAATCCTAAAGCCTAAACCCTAAACCCTGAACCCTAAACCCGAAACCCTAAACCCTAAACCCCTAAACCCTAAACCCTAAACCCTAAAACCCTAAACCCTAAACCCTAAACCCCAAACCCCTAAACCCGAAGCCGCCTGAGGTCCTGAGCCTTCAGGGGCTCTGAACGGGGGCCCATCCCCCCCAACACCCGCAACGCGCCAGGGACTCGGCTGGCTTTTTTAGGGCTTGAGGGCTGGGAGGGGGGGGGGGGGCTTTAGGGACTTTTCGGGTTTTTGGGGCTTTCAGGGCTTTTAGGGCTTTCGGGCTGGGGACTTGAGGGACTCTGGGGCTTGTTAGGCTTTTCTGGGCATTTTAGGGCTTCAGGGTTTTGTTGGGGCTTTAGGGCTTTTCGGCTTCACGGCTGGCGCGCGTTCAGGGTTTAGTTAGGGTTGTTGGGGCTTGGGTGTGTTTAGCCTTTGGGTTTCCTAGGCTTTGGGCCTCTTGGGCTTCGGGGTGTGTGTTAGGGTTTGGGGCTTAGGGCCTTGGACTGTTGTTTAGGGCTTTAGAGTGTTGGGCTTCAGGTCACTGTGGGCTTTACTTGCAGGGCTTTGGGGTTTTTGGGCTTCAGGGCTTCAGGAGTTAAGATTTAGGGCTTCAGTGGTCTCTTTTTGGGGTTCTGGTGTTTAGGGTTTAGGTTCTAGGTGTTCAGGTCTGGGACCTCAAAAGCAGTCAGATAAAGACTTGAAGTTATCTGCATGAGATATATATATATATATACATATTACATATGATTACATGTGTATATACATATATAGCATTATGTCTTATTATACATAGCTTTAGATATTACTATATTTTTTAGTAGTAACTATGTGGCTTGTAGTTTTCTTGTGTGGGTATGTGTCAGGCCTTGGCTTGGAAATTGATGTTCTCGTAGGGTTTGCATAGGCTTTCGCACAGGCTTGCATGGGGGTTGAGGGTTGAGGGTTGAGGGTTGAGGGTTGAGGGTTGAGGGTTGAGGGTTGAGGGTTGAGGGTTGAGGGTTGAGGGTTGAGGGTTGAGGGTTGACAAAGGGTTTACATGGGGGGGGGGGGGGGGGCGCTTCTAAACCCCTCCCAACCCCTCAACTCTAAGCACGAAACCCACGACCTAAACTGAAACCCCCAACCCTTCGCGCAAAAGCCCAAAGCACCTAAACCCTGAGACCTAAACCCCAACCTCACCCCCCCCCCCCCCCCCCCCCCCCCCCTTAAATCCTTAACCCTGAACCCGTAAACCTTGAGTCCTTAAAGGCAACTCTGGCCCAAACCAACCCTGACCAGGCACAGAGCAAGACGAGCTCAAGGCGCGGAGGTTTTAGGCTTTTCAGGTTAAGGGTTTTGGGGGGTGGCCAAGGCTTTCCTTGCATTGGGGGCTTCAGGCACTATAGGAAGTCAAGCAAGACGGTTCAGTTCGAGGCGACATGTATTTTGGCTTGAAGGGATTGCCGGCGCAAAGCTTGCAGGCCTTAGGGCCTTTAGAGGCGCATAAACTACAGTGGACCGCCCTGAAACAAAAGCAACCTCTGCGCCATAGCAATGCAAACGATGAAAGGGGTACCGTCCACAGCCCCTACAGCCAGAGTTAGCCGCAAGCCCTAAACCCTAAAACCCTAAAACCATGTGAATCGACACACTCTCTTATTTGCGGAATGCGCACAGCCCGACTAGGCACGGATTGACAGCATCGCAGCCCAGTCAAAGGCCCGTGCTGAGGCGCGGGAGGAGTTGAGCTCACGGGTGTGTTGATCTACCTTTAGAGGTTTTAGGGGTTTTAGGGGTTTTAGGGGCCTAGGGTTTAGGGTTTTAGGACCCGGAGTAGGCCCTTTTTTTTTTTAAGGGTTGGGGTTCCCTGATAATTAATTCCTTTGAAACCAAAAAGGGCGCCCTTTTTATTCCTAGGTTACTCCTGGGTCTAGTTGATCCACCTTCCTGAGGGGCCTAGGGCCTAGGGCCTCGGCGTTCGGCCTTCGCGCTTAGGGCTTAGGGCTTCGGGCTTAGGGCTTGGGGTAGAAGGCTTAGGCAACATTTACATGGTAGTGCTTAGGGGAATCACGACCCCACAGTTTCTCTCGTGGTGAGTAGTGCTAGCTCGCTTCGCATGCGAAGTTTTTTGCTCCAATCACTCAGAGTCTATCCAAGTCACTCCGGATACGGCTGTTCCAGACTAGGGTCTAGTACTAGTACTAGTAGTAGTAGAAGTAGTAGTAGTAGTAGTAGTAGTAGTAGTAGTAGTAGTAGTAGTAGTAGTAGTAGTAGTAGTAGCAGCCCTTTTTAGGGATAGTTGTTGTGCACGTGTTCGCACACGAATATACAACTCTCTCCCCCCCCTCCCCTGTGCCCAAACCCTAAAGCCTCAAGCATGGACCCGAAACCCTGAAGCCTAAACCCTAGACCCTAAACCCTAAACCCTAAACCCTAAACCCTAAACCCTAAACCCTAAACCCTAAACCCTAAACCCTACGCCCTCGTGTCGGGCTTCCTGCGGGCGCTTTCTGCAGGCCGGTGAGGCCATACTCGGTGAGACATTTTCCAAGGCCGGTGTGTGCAACTGCTGCCCTGCCTGGAACCTGAATTGCAGCTCCGACTTTTTAGGGTCTAGGGTTTAGGGTTTAGGGTTAGGGTTTAGGGTTTAGGGTTTAGGGTTTAGGGTTTAGGGTTAGGGTTTAGGGTTTAGGGTTGAGGGTCTAGGATTAGGGTACCTTATTGTCCCTACGGCTCCATGTACTTGCGACTTTTGTGGCTTTCCGAAAAGTGTGGGGTATTGGGGAGGTTCCTGGAGTCAGGATTATAGTATTTGGGGCTACATAAGGGGCACCGCTACTTGGTAAATGGCCATTTTTTGTGGAGTAACTTATTTCGCACTATATAGCAGAGACTATAAAGTTTGACCCCCCGGGAAGGAACTATCGAGGGTCCAGGTCCTCATCACAAGCGATTGCACATGTGCATCGGCCCTGTCCCGCAGCCACTTAGGCCACTTAGGCCCATTGCTGGTTCAGGGTTTAGGCTTTAGGGTTTAGGGTTTAGGGGTTTAGGGTTTAGGGTTTTAGGGTTTAGGGTTTAGGGTTGAGGGTTTCCACCCCGACTTCGATGTCTAATATTTTCTTAACTTGGAAGTCCATTGCTAAATCGTAGTGGATCACAAGATGATCTATGGAAGATTCCTGAATTCAGAGATATTGGGGTCTTACTCTCGAGCCCACACCGGCTAGAAGAGCGTTCAACTCTCACAAGGCGCCAAGCAGGACCCCACGGTTTCGGTAAACTGCCGGGGATGTTGCGCTCAACATGTGGAGAAATCTGAGCATGCGTGTGGCCTTGACAATTTGCGAGGCAAGCTGATTCTCCACTGCCTGGCAAAGATTTTGTGTTTTCCGTGTTTGGTCATCATCAAAGATCAAGCTGAAATAAGCCCTTTTGGGTTGTTCCATCTTACGAGCCTGTGCAACAGAAGGTCTACCTCTGTTGTAGGCTTTTTTTGAAGCATCCAGCTGCCGAATGTTTGCTGAGCCATTTCTAGTGTTGAATTGTGGCATTTAGGCTTATGTCTCTACGCGAAAAACAAGCATACCAAGAGTCTTGACCAAGAGAGCCCGATACCCCTGAACTCGAAGCCCCATCCTAAATCCGTCTTCTGGGGTATTGGGGGATCCTTGCCTGAGGATCTATGTCACCATCCAAGCAAGACCCGCCCGTGGCCGCAAGCAACGGAGTCTGCTCCATGAGAGCGTATTGCTGGGGCCCCAAGGCCGCACCTAGGGTTTGGGGTTCGGGGTTTAGGGTTTAGGGTATGAATATCAGGGTGCTATGGACGTACCAGTAGTTGTATACTAGTAGTAGTACAAGCAGTAGCACTAGCAGTAGCAGCAGTAGCAGCGTAGCAGCAGTAGCAGCAGTAGCAGCAGTAGTTGCAGTAGTTGCAGTAGTAGCAGCAGTAGCAGCAGCAGCAGCAGTAGCAGTAGTAGCAGCAGCAGCAGGAGTAGTAGTAGTAGTAGTAGTAGTAGTAGTAGTAGTAGTAGTAGTAGTAGTAGTAGTAGTAGTAGTAGTAGTAGTAGTAGTAGGAGTAGGAGTAGTGTAGTAGTAGTAGCAGCAGGAGTAGTAGTAGTTGTAGTAGTAGTAGTCGTCGTAGTAGTAGCAGTTGGTAGAAGAAGTAGCAGCAGCAGTAGTAGCAGTAGCAGTGGCAGTGGCAGTAGCAGTAGCAGTAGCAGTAGCAGTAGCAGTAGCAGTAGCAGTAGCAGTAGCAGTAGCAGTAGCAGTAGCAGTAGCAGTAGTAGTAGTAGTAGTAGTAGTAGTAGTAGTAGTAGTAGTAGTAGTAGTAGTAGTAGTAGTAGTAGTAGTAGTAGTAGTACGCGCTGGTTACGTACGCGACGGTGTGTTGGTTGCGCAGGAGTGGGAGGAAAAGCATGCGTTTTGCAGTGTTTTCAGCTGATGGCAGGTGGTTGGCAGAGTTCCTCTTATCTTGTTTTTTTTGGCATGGAAGACACTGAGCGGAGGTCAGTGCTGGGCTCAAGCGGACATGGATGCTCTGGTAACACGGACGTTATCATCGTGCGGACATAAATGCTCTGGTAACAGGGACGTTACCGTCGTGCGGACATGGATGCTCTGGCCATTCGCACGCCGTGAAGCCACGAAGTGTCGCAAATACCGATGTTTTTGCATGGAGGTTATCATCGTGCGGACATGGATGCTCCGGCCATGCGCACGCAGTGGTCACAAACGTTATCATCGCGCGGACATGGATGTTCTGGCAACACGGACGTTATCATCGTGCGGACATGGATGCTCTGGTAACACGGACGTTACCATGCAGTTATCATCGTGTCAACATGGATGCGCTGGCAACACGGACGTTGCCATTCGCACGAAAAGAAGCCACGAAGTGTCGTAAATACCGATGTTTCAGTTTAACAGCCCCAAACCCAAACTGGCAAGGCGTACGGTGCAAGTACATGTAGCAAGAAGAAAAGAGGAAGGGGCACTGGAGCCTGGAATGTGCGCGAAACCTAGGTTTTCGCACTAGGAGTCCAAGGAAAATGCACCGTCGCGAATGGTACCGACACCTAGTAGTAGTAGTAGTAGTAGTAGTAGTAGTAGTAGTAGTAGTAGTAGTAGTAGTAGTAGTAGTAGTAGTAGTAGTAGTAGTAGCAGCAGGAGTAGTAGTAGTAGTAGTAGTAGTAGTAGTAGTAGTAGTAGTAGTAGTAGTAGTAGTAGTAGTAGTAGTAGTATAGTAGTAGTAGTAGTAGTAGTAGCAGTAGTAGTAGTAGTAGTAGTAGTAGTAGTAGTAGTAGTAGTAGTAGTAGTAGTAGTAGTAGTAGTAGTAGTAGTAGTAGTAGAAGTAGTAGTAGTTAGTAGTAGTAGTTAGTAGTAGTAGTTAGTAGTAGTAGTAGTAGTAGTAGTAGTAGTAGTAGTAGTAGTAGTAGTAGTAGTAGTAGTAGTAGTCGTAGTAGTAGTAGTAGTAGTAGTAGTAGCAGTCGTAGCAGTAGCAGTAGCCGTAGCCGCAGAAGTAGCAGCAGTAGCAGTAGCAGTAGCAGTAGCAGTAGCAGCAGCAGCAGCAGTAGCAGTAGCAGTAGCAGTAGCAGTAGTAGTAGTAGTAGTAGTAGTAGTAGTAGTAGTAGTAGTAGTAGTAGTAGTAGTAGCAGTAGTAGTAGTAGAAGTAGCAGTAGTAGTAGTAGTCGTGTAGTAGTAGTAGTAGTAGTAGTTGTTGTTGTTGTAGTAGTAGTAGTAGGAGTAGGAGTAGTAGTAGTAGTAGTAGTAGTAGTAGTAGTAGTAGTAGTAGTAGTAGTAGTAGTAGCAGCAGGAGTAGTAGTCGTAGTCGTAGTAGTAGTAGTAGTAGTAGTAGTAGTAGTAGTAGTAGTAGTAGTAGTAGTAGTAGTAGTAGTAGTAGTAGTAGTAGTAGTAGTAGTAGTAGTAGTTGTAGTAGTAGTAGTAGTAGTAGTAGTAGTAGTAGTAGTAGTAGTAGTAGTAGTTGACACGCTCTTAACTGATCATGGTGTTTTCTGTTGTTTTTTGACTTTTTCTATCGTTTTCTCTGGTTTTTTCTGCGTTTGACGGGTTGGGGGGGGTGGGGGGGGTGGGGGGGGGTGGGGGGGGGGGTAATTACGTGCTGTGCTTTGTGCACACATGACCATGCTGAGGGGTTGGGGGGGTAATTACGTGCTGTGCTTTGTGCACACATGGGGGTCGTGCTGGGCTTTGTGCACGCTTGACCACGCTGTCTACTGTTTTCCTCTGTTTTTTTGGTTGGTTTAGGGGCAAGATCTTTTGGGCTCACAGTGGAGGGTTTAGGGTTTGCAGGTACAGATCTTTTGGGCTTTTTTGGGAACCTTTTGGGCTTCCAGTGGAAATATGGGGTTTGAGGTTTCAGCCTACAGATCTTTTGGTTTTTTTTGGCATCTGGGGTTTAGGGTTTCAGGGCAAGACATTTTGGCCTTACAGTGGAGGGTTTAGGGTTTGGGGCTTGAGGGTAGAGACCTTTTGAGGTTTTTTGGGATTTGGGGTTTAGGGTTTAAGGGTAAGACCTTTTGGGCTCACAGTGGAGGGTTTCGGGATCTTTTCGGCTTTTTGGGATTCACAGTGGAGGGTTTAGGGATCTTCTGGGCTTTTTTGGGATTTGGGGTTGAGGGTTTAAGGGAAGGGTTTGGGGTTGAGGCTGTAAGGTGAAAGGACTTTTGGGCTTTTTCTATGGATTTAAGGTTTAAGGGGGTGCACTGTGGGACTGCTTTGTCATTCAGGGTACACATGGGGTTTGGGGTTTCAGGCTCCAGATGTTTTGTGTTTTTTCTGGGGACGTGCTTGACGCTGTGGGGTTGAGATTTTAAGGGTGCACGACTCTTGGGCTTGCTTCAGGTTTTGGGGTTTCGGATTTCAGGGTGCACGACTGTTCGGCTTGCTGGAGGCGTTCGGGTTTAAGGACAAGTTTGGCCACATCTTAGAAAACCCGCGAAACGCTGTAAATACCGGTCTTTTCCTCTGTTCTGAGAACACGTCTGTGCAAAGTAGGCCCTGTAATTGACCCCGGGGTGGGGGGTGGGGGGGGGGGGGGGGGGTGGGGGGTAATTACGTGCTGCTTTGTGCACGCTCAGGGGTTGGGGGGGGGGGGAAATTACGTGCTGTGCTTTGTGCACACATGGCTGTTTTTTTGGTTGGTTTAGGGGCTAAACCTTTTGGGCTCACAGTGGAGGGTTTAGGATTTGGGGTTTGAGGGTAGAGATCTTTTGGGCTTGTTTTGGGAACCTTTTGGGCTTCCACTGGAAATATGGGGTTTGAGGTTTCAGGCTACAGATCTTTTGGGTTTTTTTGGCATTTGGGGTTTAGGGTTTCAGGGCAAGACCTTTTGGGCTCACAGTGGGGGTTTGGGGCTCGAAGGCAGCGATCTTTTGGGGTTTTTGGGGATCTAGGGTTTAGGGTTTAAGGGCAAGACCTTTTGGGCTCACAGTGGAGGGTTTCGGGTTTGGGGCTTCAGGGTAGAGATCTTTTGGTGCTTTTTTGGGAGCCTTTTGAGCTTCGACTGGAGATATGGGGTTTGGGGTTTCAGGCTGCAGATCTTTTGTGTTTTTTCTTTGGGATTTGGGGTTTAGGGTTCAAGGGCAAGACCTGATTTGGGGTTGAGATGTTAAGGGTGCACGACTCTTGGGCTTGCTTCAGGTTTTGGGGTTTCGGATTTCAGGGTGCACGACTGTTCGGCTTGCTGGACGCGTTCGGATTTAAGGACAAGTTTGGCCACATCTTAAAAAAAACCCGCGAAACGCTGTAAATACCGGTGTTTTCCTCTGTTCTGAGAACGCGTCTGCACGAAGTAGGGCCTGTAATTTACCGTTTTTTGAAGCCCGAAAACACTGTAAATACCGATGTTTTCCTCCTGCGCCTAAAGTAGTTGAAAGTAGTTTCCGGAAATTTTTACACGTCGATTTTTCGTGTCCGTAAACGGACAAAGCCAGGAAACACTGTAAATACCGAGGTTTTCGTCTCTTAACACGAAAATGGCATGCCACAAAACCCCTGCGATCAATTAAGAACGTGACGCCTACTAGTAGTAGTAGTAGTAGTAGTAGTAGTAGTAGTAGTAGTAGTAGTAGTAGTAGTAGTAGTAGTAGTAGTAGTAGTAGTAGTAGTAGTAGTAGTAGTAGTAGTAGGGTTCCCCCCCCCCTTGGTGCGACGGATAAAACACACTTGTATTGCTGTTTTTTGTTTTTTTTCAGAGACGCGCGTTTCGCATGGGTTTTTGCCACTGACATTTGAAAATGTGCAAAAACGCATATAAAAGTCTCGTTGTAGAAGGTTTTTTGAAAGAATGTGTTTTCGACCATAAAATGCTGTAAATACCACCATTCGCGCTCGTTTGTTTGTGAAATTTAGGTTTTTTTTTGCGTCTCCAAACCCACACTGATTTTCAGCCTCGATTTTGCCGATCGTGTTTTTGTCCTGTTTCTCTTCTGCGCCCGGAAATGCTGTAAATACCAGCATATCTGCTGTTACAGTCGCCGAACATGCTATAAATTCCAGCATTTTCCTGCTTGATGAAGAGGACAGGCACACCATGCCGAGCAAATTTACTGCGCGACGCATCCTATCTTTTGTGGGGTGGGGGGGTGGGGTGGGGGGGTTGGGGGGGGGGGCGGGGGGGTAATTACGTTTGTTGCCAGTGCGTGCGAAAGGTCACAGCATCCATGTCCGCGCCATCATACTGTCCGCGTCACCAGTGCGTGCGAACGGCCTGTCCGCACCATGATAACGTCCGTTTTACCAGTGCGTGCGAATGGCCAGAGCATCCATGTCCGCACCATTGGAACCAGCATATCTGCTGTTACATTCGCCGAAAATGCTTAAATTCCAGCATTGTCGTGCACAATGAAGAGGACAGGCGCACCATGCAGCGCAAATTTACTGCGCGACGCGTCCTATCTTTTGCGGGGTGGGGGGGGGGGGGGGGGGGTAATTACGTTTCAGATAGGCGAGCCATGTGTTACCCGTGCATGCGAACGGGGAATAAAGTATAGAGTGTAGGGTCTAGGGTATATAGAGTTGAGGGGAAGGGTTCCACGTGCCTGCTGGGCTTAGAGTTTAGGTCTGAGACCTTCTTCTCAAACGAAGTGCTGCTGCAACGAACAGCCTGACATATTATTCGGGTTGACGCGTTCATCTTGACGAGTCCAACGGCATCCGTCGCACTGGGGGGGGGGGGGGCATTTGGTGGTAGTAGTAGTAGTAGTAGTAGTAGTAGTAGTAGTAGTAGTAGTAGCAGTAGTAGTAGTAGTAGTAGTACTAGTGGTGGTCCTGGTAGTACTCGCCGTACTAGCAGTACTAGTAGTACTGGTGTATAGTACTAAGCTTCTTCTCAACAATGCACCGGCATCCCACCCAGGACTCCTGTTTTGGATGCCAATCCAGGCCTTGCTGACGAGCTTTATTTTCACAAGTGGGCGCTCGCCCGTGCTTGGAAGTGAGTCGCCATCTTCGACTGAGATTCCGCGGGCAAAGACTCTTGGCAGCCCGCTGGTACCCTTGCGCCCCTTTTGGGTCCCCATTGTAGGTTCCCTTAAAAGGGGTCAGGGTAACCAAACCCCAAACGTGCAGCCTTATTCGAATGTTTTTGCTGGGCTATCAAGGACTCCAACTCCAACGAGGGGTCCAAGTCCAGTCCCTGAGGCCGAAGAAGGAGAATCTGGGCTGATCAAGAAATTGGAGGCAAATGCTCAAGCCAAAATTGCCGAGCGATGGGCTTTTCTCTCGTCCTCGGTTGCTTACGAAGCCGCAAACTACAAGAAGCTCTCGCTTGCGAGCCACGTGGCAGTGTCTTGGATGTGGACAAGTGCTGGCTGGCGTTTCCTCCAAGTCTCCGTGTCGAGAAAACAAAGTCCTGAAGCCCTCAAGTCTCGAAGATGCTTCGCAACTTAAGCTCCTCTGCAGCTTAGGTGTCCCTCCTCGTGGAACCCCACTACCCGTGCCTCTGGACGCTGGATAAGTACCCCTCTGCTCGCCAGCGCCACGAGGGAGGCAAATGGACGTGTGGTCTGCCGGAGATGGCCTCACGAGCTCCAGGAGTGTCTTTTGCAAGCCATGGGGGTAAGCATGAGTCCTCCACTCACCCCACTCCACACCACACCACCCCCCAAGACATGTGCCGCTAGAAGAATCCCTGAGCCTACTTGGAGGTTCATGGGTTGTTATAAGTAGGGTTATAAGGCTGGGGGAACAAGAGCTGGAACCTTGTCTAGGGTACTTCTAAGCCTAAACCTTATAACCGCTACTTCTACGGCCAATGAACCTCCAAGTAGGAGCTCTTAGGAGGTCCCGAGGAGTGCGTGGTGTACTCCGTGGGCTCCGATGGTAACGATGAGTTCGAGAAGCGCGTGCGCAGTTTAACGCAACAAGCTTGCCAGATCCACATCTTCGACCCCACCGTCAGCGGCAGAGGCAAAGCATGAGCACGATACACCTTGCGCGTGGTCATGTGTCGTTGGGGTCCCGCTGTTGGAGTTCTTGTGAAAGCATCGCCACGTGAAAAAGAACAATTTGCGCGCCCGCACGGAAACCCAACAAGTACAATCAAGATGGCACCCTTCACAGGGTACCAGAGAAGATCCTGCCCATTTTTCCACTGCATCAGCAACCCTCAGCATGGAGCTGATTTGAAAGCATGCTTTTCTTTCTAGGATGCCCAGTAGTGCCCTTATTCCCTTTTTGGGGGGTTTAGGTTCCCTTATAAACCCCTTTAAGCAAAAAAGGGCACCCTTTTTAAGCCTAGGTTCCCGGGCAGCCTAGCTTTGCTCCGGCTTGTAGTTATCATGGTGCAAGGACATTCTTCTGCAGGCAGTCCTATTTGAAAAGGTTCAGCTTCGAAATGGACCTGTTTTGGCAGGCGAGTGTTGGACAGTCACTGGCGGCAAGTTGTTTTCGCTCCTTAACATTTTAGTGCCAAGCCCCCGCGTGCAGCAATGGCGCTTACGTCCTCAACCCCGAAAAACCACCCCTGCAAAAGATCCGTCCACTCGCCGAGAATAAACCCACCTGAGTAGCATCCGTTGCGCTCAGGATAAAGCCGAGCACTGTGCTCGACAATGGCAAAAACCCAAACACCCCAGAATTAAGAAATACGCACCTTAGACCCTAAACCCTAAACCCTTGCATATTTTATTGGGCTCTCTGAAAATCTATCACTACTCCCCCCCCCCCCCCCTGCAGCCCTGCAGTGCCACCACGACGACGCTTCTCAATCAAATCACATGGATAGTTCTTCAGAATTTATAAGGTTATAGGGTTAAATGGGACCTTAATTTAAAATTTAGAGCTTCATGATAGCGGCATCCTAAGCCGGACGAGCTCGGTCTTTACCGCAGGAAACCCTAAACCCCAAACTCTAAACCTTAAGTCTGTAACTATCCTGGTACTTACACCTGAAGCGGAAAGTCCAACAGCCTAAGCCTAAGATCCGAAGTTGTGGCCCAAGATATCCAGCATGTTTGCCTGTGGGAGGGTGGAGGGTAAGCGCGTCTACTCGCAAGAAAACTATAGAGGTATCTGCAGCATTTCCTGCCAAGCAGACTCTCCGTTCCTAGATAGAGGAAGGTGACGCTGTGAAAGTGTGAAAAGCTCTTCACAAAGTGAAAGGGCTCACCATCCATGTCGACATCTTCAAGTAGGGCATGTCTCGGAGACCCGCGAAAACTCTTGTTTTGCTTTGACGTGTACTGATGTTTCTTTAGGGTGTGGTAGTAATAAGGGTTAAATGCTTTGTTAAGGGCGCATGCGGATAGGATGTCGGAGCATGCATGAGGTACTCCATATTTTGCCAGAAAGACATGTTTGGATGCCAAATTCCTTCACCAGATTCAGAACCAGAGACTTTACCTAGGCCGCGGCCTCTGGGAATCTGCTTTTACAGGCCCAGATCCAAAAGGTAGAATAGCCTGAGGGTTCGTATGGTCCCGAAGGTATATTCGTCCATGGACATTTTGAAAGATCGGATTGCAGCTGTTTGTGCCCTTGTGCACTGCCGTGAGGTTTGGAACGGATGAAGGGCTGGGGGTCCAGTTTCCACACCGTGGGCCTCGGGACGGTTGATGGCGTCGTGTCCTTAAGAACTGGTGGGAGACGAGACGGCATGAGCTTTCCAGTACAGACACTGGCAACGACGATGGCCAAGTTGCTCGACGATGAGCGAAAAAACTACGCATGCAAGGTTCTACGGTTTAGGGTTCAGGGTCCAGGGTCAGGGTTTAGGGTTTAGGGTTAGGCTGTAGGTTGTTAGTGTGGTCTGCCAGGTTTTCGTGGTTTAAGTATGTATAGGGCTCCGGGTTTAGGGGAAAGATCCGTCCCTTTTTCTCTGCTTCCGGACAACCTTTGAGGCTACATCACAGCTATATCGATGCTTGGATTCACAGCAAGATGTTGCTTTGAGATGTCCTCCCTGCACATGCCTTTGGTTCCGGTACTGTGAAGCATGAAATTAACATGAGAATAAGGTACCCTGAAATAGGAACTGCACTTCAGGGTCCAGGTACACCTAAAAACCCCAAACCCTAAACCTGAACCGTCAATTCAGAGTCTCTGCGCGAGCCCTGAGCGGGGACTCCTAATATAAACATACACACATAAATATATATATATATTATATTATATTATATTATATATATATATTTGTTTCTGTATTTATATTATATTATATTATACGATATTATATTATTTATTTATTTGTTTATTTATGTTTATTCACATAATATATATATATATATATATATATACATATATATACATAACATAATATATAACATGATATATATATATATTCATACATAAATAAATAAATATAAATATAAATATAAATAAATATATATATATATATATCATTTTTATTATTATGTATTCCATATAATACAACATAGCATCATACAATATAATACACTTACATATACATACATATATATATATATATATATAGATAGATAGATAGATATGGCCGCAGGGTAAAGAGATCGGTCGGTTTGCGGGTGGAGCTTTGCCAAGCCACGCGTTCTAAGCAGGGCCGACTTCCATGGTATCGCCCGCCCCCTCCCCGTGTACATAGGGTTTAGGGTTTAGGGTGCAGCACTGGTCAGCTGAACGCAATAGTGTGACGACATGCCCACCCCAAGGCCGCCCAAACACAACTCACTGCGAGCCAAACATCCGCGAAACCGAGCCGGGTGCCAGCCCAAACCAAGCCAGCCATTCAAAATTCACACGTCGAAGAATCATAGAGGACACGGAAGCTAGTGAGAAGATTTCGAAGTGTTCGGAAAGATTTAGGAGATTCGGAAGCCCAGCAGCCCAAGATTTGTAGTGACTGGACTTCTGGGTCACTTGGGGCCATCACTAGACTTAGTGTTAGGTATCCTTTTTACCTTTTTGGGTTATGGGCTTTCTTATATATGAAGAAAAAGGATCCTTCTTTTCTTCCTAGGGGAACAGGGATTAACATCAGGCAAAGGATACCCCTTCAGGTTTTTTGCGAAGGGGACGGTCTGGGAAGGGCCCTCTCGCAGAAACCTCAGGCGTGAACAGGTGGAGGGTTACTTGGGGCTTCAGGTTTGTGCGAAGGGTACGGCTTGGGCCGAATGGCCCCCTCAGAGGAAAACTCAAGCGTCAATCGGTTGCAGGTTGAGGGTCACTTGGGGTCACACAGGCTAGCCCTCCAGGTTTTGCGAAGGGGACGGTCTAGGCCGCTCATAGAAAATTCGGGGATAAACAACCCTTTCGCTTCGGGAGCCCGGGCCTCCCTTGCGTGGGCCTCCTAAGGGCCAGAATTTCCCCATCAGCTTCGCGACCCCTCAGGGGTGCGGTGGGCAGGGCTCTGCAACCTAAGCAGAGCCATGGTCTCGCTGGGCGCTCGACTGCGCCCGCCTACCCAACAGAGGTGAGCGGGGTGGCGGGCGGGTTTAGGGTTTAGGGCTTAGGGTTTTGGGGTTTTGGGGTTTTGGGGTTTAGGGTTTAGGGTTTTAGGAGGGATACCATGGTGGGGGGTTTGACTACGCGTAACGCGGGCGCATATAAGGGGTCCCCCTTTAAAGGCCCATAGAAAGGGGCCACATGACGATCCTAAAGAGTCTGTGGACTTCTTGTTGAGGATGTCCTGAAGATAGACTGCGAGGGCTGCGAGTGGGATCTCTTCACCACACTTCCCTGGGAGACGCTGCGCATTGGGCAGCTGCTTATCGAGATTCATGACCAGCAGGGTGCCAAGAAGCTGCCGCAGCGACTTGGGCCAACGACTACAAAGTTTTGACCAGCGTTTTTTAGGAAGGGGTTTAGGGTTTAGGGTTTAGGGTCTAGGGTGTAGGGTTTATGGGGGTGTCGTGGTTCCTTTGCGATGCTGGCTCTTTTCTCATTTTGTCCCAACATCGTTTGTTGGAAGGGTGTCGTGGTTCCTTTCTGATGCGGCCTTTGCTCTTTTCTCCCCAACATCGTTTGTTGGAAAGGTGTCGTGGCTCCTTTCTTATGCGGGCCTTTGTCTCTTTTCACCCCAATCCACTTAATGGCAAAGATGTTCTCGGTTTGGTTGAGCCGCCTGACTCGTCCCTCACTGCTGAACCCCTATTACCCGGAAGCCCAACTTCACGAGTGTCAAGGCTTCTCGAGGTTTTCGATCGCCTGCACAAGGCTGGATTCTACATCTTCTCGGCAGAGCCAGTGAATTCAGTGGCAGTGGGCCACGCCTCCTTCGTTGGTAGAGTTTTTCTGATGTAAAGACTTTTGGCCCTAAACCCACAACCCTAATTTAAACCAACGGGGACATGAGGCCAATATGAGATCTCTTTGCTTCATCGGGATTGGCAACCGATGGCACCTCCACCAGTGAAGCATGCTTTGTAGCGGCTTAGGGTGAGGTTTAGGGTTTCATAGTAGGGGATGACGTAGGGCCAAAGAGCCCAATACCCCCAGGAACAATCCTGTAATTATAAAACCTAAACCCGAAGTCTTGAACCCTAGAACCTGATAAACATGTTACGTGGGTTACGTACTTTCATTAAATTAACTAATGCTGTACTTGTAATAAAGCTAATTGAACCCTAAACCCTAGACCCGGATTGAGGGTCCTGGGCTCTCAGCCCAAAGCCCCAAGCCCTAAACCATAAACCATAAACCCTAAACATCCCTAAACCCTAAACCCTAAACCCTAAACCCTAAACCCTAAACCCGGGGGGGGGGTTGGGTGAAGTTTCGGGTTGAAGGTTTTGAGTTGACGGAGGTATAGGGCTTGGTTTTGGGTTCAGGGTTTGAGATTTAGGGGTTTTGGGTTTTTGGTTTAGGGTTTGGGGTTGAGGGGTTTAGGGGTTTGGTACTTTGAGGTTTAGGATTTAGGGGTTTAGGGTTCAGTGTTTTTGGGTGTAGGCATTTAGGGCCAGGGCCTTTCGCTGTCGTGCTTGGATCCTCTTGGATGACAATGCCACGAGTCGTCTTTTGGCAGAAGGTAGTCTAAGAACCCGAAACCCTAAACCCGAAACCTCAAACCCGAAATCCTAAACCCTAAACCCTAAACCCTAAACCCCCCAACCCATCGTCACAAGCACTACGGAACCTGGGGCTCGAAAGTCCCTTAGAGCGAAAGCTCTGGTGAAGACTCTGCCATTTAATTCAACACACGCCCAGAGGAACGAAAAGGCTTAGGGTTTAGGGTTTAGGGGTTAGGGGTTAGGGGTTAGGGGTTAGGGGTTAGGTGTTTAGGCTTTAGGGCCTGAGATCTGAGCAGGGTCCGGTTGGGAAGAGGGGGTGAGAAAGTGCTCGCGCGTGCAGACGGGCTTCTACGGATTCTATAGGAACACGGCAGGGCTTGATTTTTAGGGTTTAGGCTTTAGGGTTTAGGGTTTAGGGTGAAAGTAGAGCAGAAGGTCTTCCAAAGGAATCTGCTTCTCCGCCCCTTGCCTTTGGTGGATTTTCACTACAGTCCCAATCCTTGAATCTACAGTGTGCCACCAGCCCTAGCACTGCACGTTGCTTTGCACTTGTCGAAAACCATCTCAAGCTTGCACGGCAGTGGGTACTGGGACAGTTGCAGTTTTCTATATGGGTATCCTCAAATACGAGGCGCCCCTTTAACACCCAAAATGGAAAATAATCCCCTTAAAGGGACCCCCAAAAAGGGTACCCCTATTTTCGGACAGCCCTCATATCTGCATGTGGCCATGTAGCAACAAGCAAGTCGGGAGTTTGTCCAGTGAACCCGGTTGACACCCTAAACCCTAAGCCCTAAACCCTAAACCCTAAACCCTAAGGCGTAGATTCCAAAGGATGAACCAGGTTCTAGTCTCCGGAAGACGAGTCCGGAGTCTCGCCCGGCTGAACTCTGGGACGGTTTCCTGTTTAAACGGGAGTTGCCGAAACTTTTTGTTTTTTCGGTTTAGGGTTTCGGGTGCGTGCCCATGTTAATACTTGGGAGTATGTCGGGGGTGTATCTGCTTGGGAAATACTCTATAAAGTCTCGATGAGGCCAGGACATTATTGCATTCTCTTGAGAGGCGTGTATCAAGTGCAGGCTGTCCTTATGAAGACCTTAGCCTAGTGTTACGTCGTGGCACAGCCTTTTATGGGGTTCTTAAGGGAGGGGGGTTCAGGGGGGTAGGTACCTAGGGAACCTCAGGGAAGCTTAGGGAGCCTTAGGGAGTAGTAGGGAGTGGTAGGGAACCTCGGGTTACATACCCCCATTGAACCCCCTCCCTTAAGAACCCTATAAGCGTTGCTACAAGCTCCATGTTGTAAAGATGTTCCTCTCCCTGAAGCTCTTCTTCGGATACCCAGATTTCTTATGTCAAGAGATTCGAAAGAGAACATAACTATAAATAGATAAATATATCACTAAATAAAAATAAATATACATATATATATATATATACGTATATATGTATGAGCCCGGAACCTTTAGGGTTTATTTAGCATAGAGTTTTTCTTTTCGCTTTAAATACGGAATATAAACAATTTAGTATGTAAGTGTATATTTATACTTTTGTAGGAACCATAAGTTCTACTTGAGAGTCAACTTCGCCTTGTGTCTGTGGATACCATTACTGTTGATGCTTGTGTTTTAGACAAGTCGCACATCTAACTTATTTATCCGTTTGGATGCAACAAAACGATCAACCCTCCACACCGGTGTTGCATATCTTAAATGCACTTGTTTTCTGCAGCTTTCTTTGTTTTCATCTGCGGCTTGTTCACTTATTAGTGTTTGTGATCTTTATAATGCTGATGCGATGGCAATAGTATGCTTACTGGTGTTCCTAGCATTGGAAGCACAACTAACATTATGAACATATTATGACTTATGTGAGTACTATTGGTAATGTTCGCAATATAAGTACTAGTCCTAGCGCGAGCTGTCAATATAAGCAAAAAGCATGGCGTGTTGTGCGGAACATTCGAAGTCGAGGATTACTTGTGCTAAGCATAAGTTTGACACATCTTATGCTCCCAATTTGACAGTTCGTGACTTCAATATCACCAAATAACATTGCAGTGCGTTGGCAGGATTGCTAAATAACACTAACATCACGACAATCCTAATCATCCTAATCTTGCTGGTAGTGCATATGTCTTTTGACAAGTCTACTACGAAACTGCACTATCTGTCGAGATTAGCCATATGACTAGTGCGAGTACTATTAATGTTCCACACTCTTTAGTAGGGGCCTCCTGAACAAAGTCAAAAATGGCCGGGCTGTTCAGGACACTCCGAGTGTTTGGGTTTGGGGGCGCGCGTTGGGATCCTGAATAAAGGCAAACCGTCCGGGCGCCGTAAGAAAATTCCACGCGGCGCGCCTTTAAAGGATTGCTGGGCATCGCTGCCCTGTAAACTTATCCTAACTCCTCTCTAATAAATTCATATATATCCCGTGGACAGTGTAAACAGGAACAAGAAAGGGGGAGGGGGGCAGGTCTAAAGAGGGTGCAACATCAGTGTTGTGAGCAATGTTTTTTAGCCCACCACTGGGAAACTCAACAATGTCACTAACAATAGTACCATAGCGTCATTAGCCCCTGTGGCATGATTAGTCCGATAAGATTATAATATGAGATCAATTAGTAATATGATTAATGCGAGTAACATGAGTGCTAGCAAGCCTAATACAATTTATGACACTAGTAAGCTTGGTAATGTTGTAACTGGAATTGCAATTTCTTGTCATTTACTTTTAGTTATGCTATTGATCATGCTAGTAAGCTAATACGCCTACTATACCGAACATTGCTGAATATAATACTAGTATCACGCTACTGATATTAGTAGTATTGGGACCATTCCTATAAACATGAAGAAAGGTTTACTTCTTGAGCTGCATTTTAGCTGCAGGATGGTTTGCGGTTAGTACTCCAGTGACTCTTTGGGCATAGTTTGGTCTTGTGCGCTCTAGGGACTTTACGAGGATACTCTACGGCTGCGCGCTTCAGCGATTCTGGAATACTCTAGCACAAGCCTTCCAGGGCTTTTCCGGTGATCCTTTCGGCTTATTTTGGAAGACTTTGGGTTTTGGTATTCTAGAGACTCTTTCGGGCAACCGTGCAAACCAATGAGTGATTTAGAAACCAAGTAAACTCATAATTTTTCTAGAAGTACGTGGTGCAGGGAACTTTGTGGCCCACGCCGCAGAGCGATAGTGATAACAGCAAGAAATCACTCGGGGGCTCTCTATGACATCAATGAGTGTTGTAGGAACCAAGTAAATTTCGTCACACAAACACATGGTGTAGGTCATTTGTTGACCGACACCACATAGGAACAGTGAGAAGACTATGAAATAACTAGGCCACCGTATATTAAATCAGTATGTGGTGTGGAACCAGGTAAATTTACGAGCACATGGTGTAGGGAATGCTGTGGCATACGCCACATAGGGATAGTAGAAAAACTCAAGAAATCACTGGGAAACTGTATATGATATCAATGAGTGTTGCGAGAACCAAGTACATATTTTTATACAAGCACATGGTGTAGGGAGCGTTGTGACCCACAATACGTAGGAACTGAATCACTGGGCAACCGTACATTAAATCAATAGGAACTAAGTAGTTTTGCTTGTGCAAGCAAAGAACAATGAGAAAACCATTTAGTCACCAGGCAACGGTATAAAGTAATGAATCCGCATAACAATATCACCATGTTTACTGTTCATATCAATAGCGTTCTTAGCAGTGCTGGCATTGCTCATGTTCATTATATTTTGTGTTAGCGCGATCCGAAAGCAAGGCCCTTGCAAGGACGCTGTGACTTTTCCTCGATACCATACGAGTACTATGCTGATACTACACGAATACTTTACCGCTGCCAGACTAGGTACCAGCACCAAGACCAAGACCAATAATAGTACTAACACGAATGCTAAAACTACAAGAAACTCTATACTACACTACACTATACAAAATAGCCGGGACATAGCCGGGACTTTTGGGGTCTCTTTCGTTGCGTTTGTTTCATTCCTATCAAACGCTCGTATATGTATATTGTCAAAAAACTTTAAAGATGCACATGCCGAATAATCCGACGTCCTATTTTATCTTGTCTTTTGGACTTGCATTGTTGTTTTTGGCTTTCGCTTTGCTTTGCTTTCTTTGCGTGCTGCTTGCCTACATTTAAAATGCGGTTTGCTCATGGATCCATGACACGAGCAAAAAATCCTACACTGCTATTCTGAAAACGAATTCGTGGTTTTGTGGTCATGATAACTGTTCACGTTGCTGTTCTTGCACGCTGCTTGCCTATGTCTTTTCGAACTTGTGTTCTTCATTTATCTATAACACTTGGATCGATGAGGGGCGCTGGCAAGCTAAACAGCGAAAACACTCCGCCCGAGTTTCATTTCATGGGTTCGCGTTGCAGCTTC